TATATATATATATATATATTCGAGTAAAGTATTAGGCCAATAGAGAACTGGAGTTAATCAAGGAAATTAAAAAATGAAGCCTCATCAGGAAGAGATGCTTAGAGCAAGAGAGCTCAAAATAGATTTATCTATTAGTTACAGAAATGTTCAAGCTTTAGTTGTTGCTGCAGGGAGAATCATACTTGAAGCTTTTTTTGCGGAGGCAAATGAATCTTATAGTCAGCTGGCAGTTCTTCCTCAGAGTATAACCGATCAGCAAAGTAAACTCTACGAATCCTACAATTTGCATGGATCTGAAGAAAAAATATTGAGTAATAGTGAAGAATATACCATATATTTAAGCAAAGTCTAATACCAACCTGAACTCGTACGGCCTCAACGTAATTCGTTGCGTAAGCTCTTCTGGTGAAATCCATCAAATTAAATTGGATTTGATTCCACCCATCATCTAATCTCATTGGCATTGTGCATATAAATGGCTTGACCCTAGTGCTACTTTGGTAATTACTTGCGCGAAAACGTCGTTTTATTCCTCTATCATCAAGAACCAAAAGTAAAATACATTTATATACATAAACTTACTTGAACTTCAAAAGTGAAATATTTTTTAAGATTCTTTATGATCATTACAAGGAAGGGTAGCTTTATTGCAAGTGATTTGTTCATTGCACAAGGGCAAGTTAGAAATGTAGTGCTTAAAGTAAAATATAGAATGTTTAATACCTTACGTTATTTCCTATTATCTCTAACACAAGTGAATGAATGTCAGGGTCTGTTATTCGTTTGATATGACCATTTTTAACCTAAATTATCAAAATACAGTCAGTTCTAACTTGCTCTTTTGTCCCATAGATGCAATGGCTTGCTTCCAACGCTATGAAGAATTGATAAGAATTCACTCTGGTACGCGTTTCGAAACATCACTAGACAACTTCAGAGGTATTAGTAACCAAGACTCAGACTAACGGTCACAAAAAAATTACTTAAAATATCTAAAATATATGTAGTAAAACACTCAGAAATAAGCTTTGAGTTATTAAAAAAA